GCCCTGGGCCGCGCCACGTCGGGCGCCGCATCTCGGCCTCGCCTGGAGGGGCCCCGGCCGCGAGGGTGAAACAGAGCACTGGCCGCCCCAGCCCGGGCCGCGCGACGTCGGGCGCCACATCTCGGCCTCTCGCCTGGCGGGAGGGGGGGCCCGGCCGCGCCTCCCCCCCCCGCGCGGCCCGCCGAGAGGCTCCCGATGGGCCCCCCCTGCGGGGCCCTGCGGGAGAGGCCGGGGCGGCCGGCCGCGCCGGGCGCTGCTCGCCACTGCCGGCGAAGGCCGCTCCCGGGCCTGGGAGCCGCCAACGAGGCGACTCGGGAGGACGTCGCCGTCGTCGGCCTCCTCGTCCTCGTCCTCGTCGACGTCCTCCTCGTCCTCGCCCTCGCCCTCGCCCTCGCCGTCGCCGTCGCCGTCGCCGTCGTCGTCTCCGTCCCCGCCCCGTCCCCGTCGTCGTCGTCGTCGTCGTCGTCGTCGTCGTCGTCGTCGTCGTCGTCGTCGTCGTCGTCGTCGTCGTCGTCGTCGGGGGGCATGCCAGCCGCGGGGCGCTGCCCGGCGGCTCGGGGCGTGGAGCTCTGGGCCCCCCGGAAGGGGGGGAGGGCTCGAGAGGTGGGTCGGGGATCTGTCCTCCTGCGGGCGGATCTCGGAGGACAAGTGGAGAGGAGCCGAGAGATCGGAGATGATCAAAAAATTAGATGCTCCCACATGCTCCCAAAGGAGCTCCCAGAACCCCCAAAGAGGCTCCAGCAGAAGCCTAAGAGGCCCCCAAGAACCCCCCAACGAGGACCCCCAAAAATACCTCCGAAAGCCCAAACGCCAGCGAGGGCACAACACGGGCTGGCGGAATGAGCGAAGGGATTAGATAATAAATTATCCCAGTGCGACCCTACCTAGGAGTTGGAACCCCTAGGAAAGCAGCATTAGCAGTAACAGTAACGCTAAGCTAAAGCTAAGCTAAAGCTGAGCTAAAGCTAAGCTAACGCTAAGCTAAAGCTAAGCTACAGCTAAGCTCAAGCTAAGCTCAAGCTAAGCTAACGCTAAGCTAAAGCTAAGCTAAAGCTAAGCTAAAGCTAAGCTAAACGCTAAGCGAAACGCTAAGCTAAAGCTAAGCTACAGCTAAGCTACAGCTAAGCTAAAGCTAAGCTAAAGCTAAAGCTAAAGCTAAAGCTAAAGCTCCCAGGGGACTGGGGGGAACCGCTCCCAGGGGACTGGGGGAACCGCCCGGGGCGTGTTCCACTGCCCGGCCCCTTTAAGCTAAGAGAGTAAGAACCCTTCTAGGCAGAGCCTAGGTAGGGAAAAATTAGTCGAGCAATCGTCCCCACACTATTTTTCGACTGTTTTTGTTTGATCATTCCTCCTGTAGAAAGGCAGGCCCGACTCAGCTCTAGAGGGCGGGGCCTCGACCATCACCATCAACACCACCACCACCACCAGCAACAGCACTCTCTCCCCCAAAAAAAACATCTCTTTCCGCATGGCATCTCTGCTGCGATGCTGGGTTAAGACGAAACCGAGACGAGGATAACATCGGGTGAGGATGAATCGAGCGTCTCTGAGATCAGGCGGCTGTGGAGGATGTTTCGGGCGCCGCGGCCTGCTCAAAGCGCTCTGGATCGCTCTTAGAGCGTTCCGCTGGAACGCTCTGGAACGGATCTATCCTCGTCCTAGCCCCGTCCGATGGGTAGCCATCGCAAGCTGCACCCAAGCGATGCTGCCAAGCGAGCTGCCACAAACTACCGCCCGGGTTACCGGAGGGCAAACGACGACACATGCCTGCACCGGCTGGACGCCATGCAATGAAATCGACGCACGAGGAAAAAACGAACGCCTGGGATGACAGGAAGGGTTGGGTCAGCCGCTGTGGCCGAGAAACGAGATCGGCTCTCAGATCCGATTGCCGATGCGCGCGCCTATCAACCCTGCCGCGGCCAGGGCCAGCCACCACGCCAGCGGCTTCGCAGCCGAGCTGCGTCTCGCAGCAGAGCTCAGGTCGCCCGTGGGGGCAGCAGTCGCAGTCGCAGTCGCAGCCGCAGTCGAGATCGCGGTCGCGGTCGTGGTCGGAATCGCGATGCTGGTCCAGGTGGTGGTGCTGGTCACCGCTTCGCTAGTTGCCGATGTGTTGTTAACAGTCACACTCGCAGACGTCACGGTTGCAGGAACTACATTCATGTCTGGTGGTGCGACAGTCAACGAGGACTCTACCATCTCCATGCCTTGCGACTGGAAGTGTGTTTTCAAATTTGCTGCGAAACTAGAACAATCATTCACAATCTCGTTTGTCATATCCAAGATTTGCTCGGCCGAAACAAAAGGTGCAACTATCTCAAATCCGACGTCCCATGAATTGAAGACCGACCGGGCCGATGCATAGGCGACAGATACCAAGAGTTGATCATCACGAACACCATAAAGAGACGACAGATAGGAAGTTACCACGTTTGTCACTTCATCCAGTGTGCCAGAACTTTCAAACGACAGGGAACCAGCTACCATGTAAACCAGTGTAGTGGCAGTCGCCTGCGTAGTACTGGCACTGCTTGCAGTGGTGCTGGCCACGATTGTGCTGCTCCGAACGGAGCTGGTCACTGTAGTGCTGGTCACGCTGGGGCTTGGAACGGGCGTGGGCGCTATCTGAGTCGTGGTAATTGTTAAGGTTATGGTGCTGGTCGCCGCTTCGCTGGTTGCCGTTGTGCTCGTAACAGTCCCACTCATAGATGTCATGGTTGAAATACGGCTGGTCACGGTTGTGCTGCTCCGAGTGGAACTGCTCACTCTAGTGCCGGTCGCGCTTGGGCTGGGAGTGGGCATGGCGCTGTTCACCGAACTGTATCCGATGAGCGGTCGCGCATTGAGAAAGTCCCACATTATCTGCGGACCGTCGAGCATATCATCGGATCCTGTGCCAGTGTTGAAGTCATGGCCGCCTGAGAACACGCATCTGACCACACTCGTACCGCCCTGGCAATCATACCCGTCCTCCACACAACTCATGTCATTAGCGGTATAAAGTCCAACTGGAAACTCACGAGCAATTGTGCCAACGCAGCCGTTCTTTTGGACATAGTGAGCAGAGGACTCTCTCAGACCTGCCCAAATATAGCCATCCCACCACCACTTGTCCGTCGGTGGACCGACCCCTGGGGGATCATAGAGTGGGATGACCTTGTCTCTATCCCCACCAATCATGATTAGTGATACGGGAGGGCCATCTCCGAGTGTTCCGTCCCACCCTGCGTGGGGGCGGGCGCCGCAAGCGGAACCAATACCAGCGAATTGGCCTGGCAAATTCTTCACCAATTCGAACGTCATAACTCCGCCATTCGAACACCCGATCGCGTACTGTCTGCGAAGGTCTATGCAATATTCTGTTTGCAAATAATCCAACATCTCGCCGACAAAGGCCACGTCATCGTAACAAGTGGTCCAATCGCAAGGGTTGCAACCGTGACTCTTAGCCGCGCAACTTTCGTAACAATAGTCGTAATAATAAGCGTAAGAGTAATAGTAAGTGTATACATAGGAATACTTCGCACAGGCCTGGTCATTGTTTGTTGTTCCCCCACCGTTCCACGAATGCATGTGCTGGCAATCAGCACCTGCTTGACAATCGTCGAGTCCTTGCGGATACACCGCAATGAAATCGTTCTCTCTTGCGAGATCGTCAAAACCGTAGCTCGTGTGATAAGTGGAGGCCTGCTCACCCCAACCATGGAACACCATCACCAACGGGGATGGCGACGACTGGGAGTATGATGGAGGCAGATATACACTATACTCTCTGCTGATGTTTGGCAAATCTAAATCTGGAGACGGGACGGTCTTAATCGAAAAGGTGTCCGTGCTGGGGTTGGCTCCGCTGCCGCACCCAAGGCTCGGCACAGCTTCCATTGAGCCCATCTGCATCCGACGCCGATGTGAGCAAAGACATTCAGAAAACAGACAGAACAAAGCGGCACACCAAAGCATAAGGTACATTCGACGACAACGTCAACACAAAACTTGAGCCAAACTGGCTTGAGCCAAAGTGGCTACGAAGGGTCACCGTGGGCGATCTTGGAGCGATCTGGGGCCAACCCCTCCCTCCCCTGAGAAAGACAACTATCGCGTTGGCAGGAAGGTGTTGGGGAGATACAGGGCACGACTGTGTAACAGAAGCACCTTCAACATGCGCGGTGATACTGACGATCCGATCACATGTTCCTGCCCCTTCCTCCCAACCAGCTAATTGTCCTTCTGATCCCTCCCTCCCTCCTCCTCCTCCCCGGGACGCTTCCGGAGGTCTCTGGAGCTCCCTGGGGACCGGGAGGTTCCGGGAGCCCCCCCCCTCCCCACCCCGGAAGCCAAGCCCGCACAGGAGGGCCAGGGGCGCCCAGAAGGACCCGCGATCCGCGTTTTCGCCCCCTCCCATGCTCCTCCTCCCTCTTCCCACGTCCTCCTCGGCGGCGAGCCTAGGGGGGAATTGAGAAGGCACGGGCCTTCGCAGAAGGCTCGGAGGTCCCCCAGCCTGCTGAGAAGTTTTCAGATCCTTCCCCGAAGACGTACAAAAAACCTCTCAGAAGGCAGGAGGCCTCCTGAGAAGCCCCGCCGCCTTCTGAGAAGGCCTTCTCCTTCTCGTTTCCTCTCTCGCTCGCCACCGACCTCCGTCTTCCCTCGTCCTCTGGGGCGAGACTGATGTCATGACAAGACTGGCTCAGGGTATGTCCCAGGATTTCCAGAGCATCTGGCGGCGCATCCAGTGCGGAACAGGAGGCAGTATGAGACATCGCGGACACCGTGGAGATCCTGGAGTGTATCATTAGCATGACCTCTTGCTCCTCTGACTCCCTCCTCCTCCTCCTCCTCCTCCTCCTCTGACTCCCTCCCTCCTCCTCCGCAGTCTTCCTGCTCTTCCTCCCTTCCTCTCTCCTCCTGCCTTCCTCCCTCCCTCCCCCCTCCTCCGCCTTTTCCTCCCCCTCCTCCTGGAACCTGGAGCCTGGTGGCGTGAGAGGTCGTCGGCTGCCGCCCCCCCAGGGCTGGTCGGTTGTGGGGGGTGATCAACCTAGTGCAAGGTGACCCGCGGAGCACCGCTCCAGGAGCCACACGCGCGCACGTATCTTTTACGTGCAGGAGTTCAAGTGACGGAGACAGACAGACAAGACGGAGGAGGCAGGGAGGCAAGGGGTAAGTCATGACCCCCCCCGTATAAGCAGACACACTCACACTCAGACTCGTTCGCGCCCAGGGAACTAGGATTTCTCAGGCGAGGCGCCGGTTTCAGCACTCCCGAGGGTGAGCCACCAGGGGTTATATCGCCTCCCCGTTCGCGCCCAGAGTGTGGGGATGTCTCATGCGGTTTGCCTGTGTGGGTGGCCAGACTCGTTTGAGATCAGAGCAGATAATGAGGATGTCTCAAGCGAGGCGCTGGTTTCAGCACCCCACGGGGAGGACGGGGGCGCCAGGGCGTATATCACGGGCCCGCTCGAGCCCAGATTGCGAGGATGTCTCAGGCGGTTTGCCTGTTTTGGTGGCCAGACTCGTCTGCGGTCAGAGCAGACTGTGAGGATGTCTTACGCGAGCAGTCGCCATCATCATCGTCATCAGCATCATCATCATCATCATCATCATCATCATCACCGTCGTCGTCGTCGTAGTCGTCGTCATCATCATCATCACTCACCACCACCACCACTAACAATGATCATCATCAGCAGCATCATCATCAGCATCAGCATCGTAACCATCATCGTGATTAGCATCATCGTCAACATCGGCATCCTCCTCGTCATTATCAGCATCACCACCATCATCACTAACACAGTTAGCATCAGCATCGCAACCATCATAAATATCGCAATCATCATAATCAACATCATCGTCATCATCATAAGAATCGCCACCATCATCAGCATCATCACTCACCACCACCACCACCACTAACAATCATCATTATCATCACCATCCGCATCATCATTATCATCCTCATCATTGACATCGTCAACATCACCAGCATCATTATCATAATCATCAACATCAACATCACCATCATCAGCAGCATCAGCATCATCATCATCAGCATCATCACCACCATCATCAGCATCATCAACATCATCGCCGTTGTCGTCATCAAGTTCATCATCATCATCATCATCACCATCCGCACCATCATCAGTCTCATCATCATCATCACCATCATCATCATCATCATCATCATCATCATCACTATGATCATCATCATCAACATCACTATGATCATCATCACTATGATCATCATCATCATCATCATCATCATCATCATCATCATCATCATCATCATCAGCAGCAGCAGCAGCATCAGCATCAGCATCATCATCACCATCGCCATCATCACTATCATCATAGCCGCCTCGGCTCAAGAGTCGTGCCGCTGGGCGCTGCGTGCGCCCGCCGTGGCTCCGGCGCTGGCGGCGACGGCGTGCCTCCTGCCTGCGATGGTCGCGCGGACGCAGGGTGGCGCCTTCGCTCGTGGAGCTCGCGGCGCTGCGCGGGCTGCCGTGGCATTATCGCGGCCTCGCCGTTGGCACGGGGGCCACCGCTTGGGCGCCCGAGTTATCCGGGGTAGCTCGGGCCCGGGGCAACTCGGGTTCGGATTCCCGAAAAAGCGAACCCGAGTTAGCCCTGACCCGAATTACCCCTGATGATTTGGGGCTCTGGACGCCCGAGTTATCCGGGGTAGCTCGGGCCCGGGGCAACTCGGGTTCGGATTCCCGAAAAAGCGAACCCGAGTTAGCCCTGACCCGAGTTACCCCTGATGATTTGGGGCTCTGGACGCCCGAGTTATCCGGGGTAGCTCGGGCCCGGGGCAACTCGGGTTCGGATTCCCGAAAAAGCGAACCCGAGTTAGCCCTGACCCGAGTTACCCCTGATGATTTGGGGCTCTGGACGCCCGAGTTATCCGGGGTAACTCGGGCCCGGGGCAACTCGGGTTCGGATTCCCGAAAAAGCGAACCCGAGTTAGCCCTGACCCGAGTTACCCCTGATGATTTGGGGCTCTGGACGCCCGAGTTATCCGGGGTAACTCGGGCCCGGGGCAACTCGGGTTCGGATTCCCGAAAAAGCGAACCCGAGTTAGCCCTGACCCGAGTTACCCCTGATGATTTGGGGAGGGAGGCGTGATGAGGAACAGGAGGGGGAGGAGGGGGAGGAGGAGGAGGAGGAGGAGGAGGAGGGGAGGAGAGGGAAGGAGGAGGAGGAGGAGGAGGAGGAGGAGGGGGAGGAGAAGGAGGAGGAGGAGGAGGAGGGGGAGGAGGAGGAGGAGGGTCTCTGAACCCCAGGCGCTGGTGCGTGTGCCACTTCCGGCGCTGCCGGCGGCCCCGGCCTGCGGCTCCACATGGCCATGCAGGACGCGCTGCGCCGCCTGCACATCGTGCTCGGGGCCGAGGCTCCCTCCCCAGGAGGAGGAGGAGGAGGAGGAGGAGGAGGAGGAGGAGGAGGAGGAGGAGGGGGAGGAGAAGGAGGAGAAGGAGGAGGAAGGGAAGGCCTGCAGGCTCCCTCCACTTCGACAGCCCCGTCGTGGAGATGGAGGTTCGTTGGCCGCCTTTTCGGCGGCTCGGGGTGGGTGTCCTGAAACCCCCTGCCTTTCGAGCCGTGCCCCTGCCCGACCAACGCTCCATCGTCAGCGTGCAGGGGGCCGTCCCTCCGTCCGTCGGCCCGGTCTGCACTTTCCGGTCGTCCCCCCTCCCTCTCCCCCTCTCGCTCCTCGGCTCCTCGCTCTCCGGCCCGTTCCTGTTCCTTTCTTGGCCCGCTTTTCTTTGTCGGCCCGCCCCGTGGTCCGCATAAGAGATGCTGCGGCTCGCACGGCCACGCTGACGGACCCCCCCCTCCCTCTGGCTTTTGGCCGGGGCGGCGGGGCAGGACAGGTGACGAACTCCGCTGAGCGGTCCAGACCTGAGGGGGCCCACGGTGGACGGTCCCGACCTTCCCCTGCGATCCCATTTTGGGGGAAGCGGTGGCGCGGGCGGCCGTGGGAGCTGAGCGTCGCGTGGCGAGCAAAGTGGCCGCTAGCCTGACGGATAGCACCCTCTGGGGCTGGGTTACAAAACTCTTCTCCTCTTTCTCCTTTTCACCAGCACCATCAGCATCAGCATCAGCAGCATCATCATCAGCATCAGCATCATCAGCATCATCAGCATCATCATCATCATCATCATCACCATCATCATCATCATCATCATCATCATCATCATCATCATCATCATCATCACCATCACCATCACCATCACCATCACCATCACCATCATCATCACCATCACCATCCTCATCCTCATCCTCATCCTCATCCTCATCCTCATCATCATCAGCATCATCATCGTCGTCATCGTCGTCGTCCTCGTCATCGTCATCGTCATCGTAATAATCATCATTATCATCGTCATCATCATCATCATCAACATCATCATAATCATCATAATCATCATCATCATCATCATCATCATCATCATCATCATCGTCATCATCACCGTCATCATCATCATCCTCATGCTCATTATCCTCCTCCTCCTCTTCATGATCCTCATGATCCTCATGATCCTCATCCTCATCCTCATGCTCATCATCATCATCATCATCATCATCATCATCATCATCATCATCATCATCATCATCGTCATCGTCATCGTCATCGTCATCGTCGACGTCATCGTCATCTTCATCGTCATCCTTATCGTCATCGTCATCGTCAGCATCATCGTTGTCGTCATCGTCGGCATCCTCCTCCTTCTGCTCAATTCATCCCTCCCCCCTCCCGGGGGAAGGACGTGGGGACACCAAGAGGTACTGATACCGCTGCTTCCTGGACCTCTCCCGGGGTGCGCTCTGACCACCATTTCGAGGCCAAGCCAGCGGTGGCGACGGGGGCCACCCAGGAGGCCCAAGAATGGCGAAGACGAGGCCAGGGCGGCGGTCTCGGTACCCCTTCCTCCTCCGAGGAGGAGCATCAGGAGGAGGAGGAGGAGGAGGAGGAGGAGGAGGAGGAGGAGGAGGGGCAGGAGAAGGAGGAGGAGGGGAAGGAGTCGG